CCAGTTGCATGAAAAAGTGTCAAGTTAATAAAGCAATTAAAAAGCAATCTATACATTTATTATTGTTTCATTTAGAAGCATATGTATATATTCTGTGACCCCCCCAATCAGAAATAAGATGTCTCAGATGTTAATTAGGTCCCATTTCTCTATAGTTGGATAATATGTGACTTTTTCCTTTTATTATCTGGAGTTTTAGAAGCAAAAACATTTTCAGGGAGTCCAAATATAGTACAGGTATATAATACTGGTTCAAAAAACTTTAAGAGTGAACTTCAAGAATTTTCCAGTTTTAATTGAAGGAATAAACCCTCCCTTTATTACAGATATATTCCTTTTATTTTTTTTATTATTATTTTTAAAGATTTTATATGTTTTTACAGAGAGAGAAAAGTAGGGGGAACAGCAGAGGGAGAGAGGGAAGAAGGCTCCCCACTGAGCAGGAAGTCTGATGCCGGGCTCCATCCCAGGATCCTGAGATCATGACCTGAGCCAAAGGCAGATGCTTAACTGACGGGGCCACCCAGGTGCCCCGAGATACATTCCTTTTAAAAATCGATCTTCTTTTTTGTGAAATGGGGAATAATGCTTGCCTTACAGGGCAGCTGAGTGGAGTAAATGAGGTGTGGAACTCTGTTGGGCTGCCTGCTATGTAACTCCATCAGGTACTTGGGAAGGACTAAAGGGAGTTTTCACCTATGCTCTGAAGTCCAAAGGGCAAAAATAGATGGCTTCCACCTTGTCATTTCTCTGATATTTGCTATACTTCTCCCCTAATTAGTACCATGTCGGTGAAGCATACTTAACCTTCTTGGTTCTGATTCTGTTTCCATTGCTGATATGAGTCCTCAAGGTAATAAAAACCCATTGATTTCTCTTGAGTCCCTGGTGAGCTAAACCTTGCCCCTTTGACTCCTATAGAAGTCTGGAGAATGTCTTTCTCCCCCACCTTTAAAGTTATATTCAAGTGAGTACCATTCCTATGGTTCTTGGTCTTTTGTTGGTTCTTAATAAAATAGACCTTTTTGGTATTATTTTTGTGCTCTTCCTCTTCAGAGAACTCAGACATGAATGTGTTGGGCCCTAGCTCAGGAGATATATCTAGATGTCCCACCATCGTGTGTCTGGAATTAACATTACTTCAAACCTCCCAAACACAAACAGGCTGAAAGCTTTGTTTTGCCTGTGTTTTTACCCTTTGGGAGGATTTTCTCAAAAGAGAATCTGGGCAGACCTACCCAACCAGTTTAATAGACTTACCCAGAAGATACCCAAATTACATTAGGAGGACACATTTTTTTTTAAGCTGAAACACTCCTGTTTTACCCCTTCCACACCTGAAACATGAAATTGCTTTGTAAGTTCTTAAAAACTACTAGATATTTGGCATTATATTAAATATTTTATTTGGCATTATAATTTTTAAGTGAGTGCATGCCCTACTTAAGACAATAATTATGTCTTAAACATCCTGGAGCTCAGTTTCTAGTGTAGTGCCTGATATAACATACACTTAATTATTCATTTTGACTGGTTAACTATAGTGGAGTTAGGAACCCAGCTTAATATTTTTCCTAACGGACTATCCTTAATTAAGTGTACTAAGGCAAGTAGTTACTTGGAAATTATTACTTTTAATTTCCAGAGGAACATGGCAAGAAAAGCCTCTAAACCAAAATCTATAATTTCTGGGACACCTCACTGGCACAGTCGGTTAATTGTCCTGACTCTTGGTTTCAACTCAGGGCATGATCTCATGGTCTCAGGATGGAGCTCTGCATCGGGCTCTGACCTCAGCGTGGAGTCTGCATGGATTCTCTTTCTCCCTCTCCAGTCTTCCCCCTGCTCACTCTCATATGCTCTCTCTCTCTCTCATAAAATAAAATAAGAGATCCACCAAAATCTGTAATTTCTTCTTTAAAAAAAAGATTTTACTTATTTTAGAAAGCAAGAGCAAGCCAGGAGGAGAGGCAGAGCGGGAGGGAGAGACCCAGTGCAGGGTTTGATCTCACACCACGAGATCATTACCTGAGCTAAAACCAAGACTTGGTCATTTAACTGATTGGGCCACCCAGGCACCCCCAAGATTTGTAATTTATTTTTAAAAATCTTTTATATACCTGTATTTATGTAAACACAGACCCCTTACTTGCATCATAATTACCTAGGGAAAATGTTAAAAATGCTGACACTTGGGTGCCCTTCCCACTTTCAACCCCCATTATTACCTCTTAAATCACCTGATCAGGAACTACTCTTTTGACAGTTCCTCAGGTGATTCTGATGCTTCAGAGTTATGACAACATAGGATAGGGAAATACTAACAGTGATTACGGCATTTTACAAACTGTGATCTAAATTACCTTGCTTATTTGATAATACAATGAATATACCTTTCTAAAATATAATTCCAAAGATTGCATTAAAAAATCAATATGTATCTATAAACTAGTACTGCTTTTTAAAAAAGATTTTATTTATATATTTGTTAGAGAGAAAGAGTGAGTGAGCACAAACAGGGAGAGCAGCAGGCAGAGGGAGAAGCAGGCTCCCCGCTGAGCTGGGAGCCCAATATGAGACTCGATCCCAGGACCCAGGGATCATGACCTGAGCTGAAATAGCTGCCTAACTGACTGAGCCACCCAGGTGTCCCTCTAGTACTGCTTTTTATCTTTCCAAATATCCTATTAATACATTATCATGAATCTATTATTAATAAGAAATAAATTATTAAATAAGCTAGGCATTATCATTTCTGTGCAAGCCTGTGCCCTTTTACACCAGTGATTTTATCTTAATCACCCTGGAGCTCAGTTTCTAGTATGGTCCCGGATACAGTAAATATTTTATTTTATTTATTATTTTTAAAAATATTTTATTTATTTGAGAATGAGAGATTGTGCAAGCACAAGCGGGGGTGGGGAGGAGGGACAGGGAAGAGGGAGAAGCAGATTCCCTCTGAGCAGGGAGCCCCATGCAGGGCTCCATCCCAGTAGTCCGGGATCTTGATCTGAGCTAAAGGCAGATACTTAACTGACTGAGCCACCCAGGTTCCCCTATAGTAAATATTTAATAACAATCATTTAATTATTCTTTTATTAATTTGATTATTAATATTAAATTTCTTAATTGTGATTTATCTAAAATAATGTACAATTATTTGATCTATATGGGTGATTTATTTCTTTGCACCCTCATGTTTTAAAAGTTTCTGTGAGGAACATTTAAAAAAATATACTACTTCTAGGGGCGCCTGGGTGGCTCAGTAGGTTAAGCCTCTGCCTTCAGCTCAGGTCATGATCTCAGGGTCCTGGGATGGAGCCCCGCATCCCATCCGGCTCTCTGCTCAGCAGGGAGCCTGCTTCCCCCTCTCTATCTGCCTGCCTCTCTGCCTACTTGTGATCTCTCTCTGTCAAATAAATAAATAAAAACTTTAAAAAAATGTACTACTTCTCTAATTTATGTAATACAAGGTCATTATACATATTTGGATTATGCAGAAAATACAAGGAAGAATATAAACAAAACCATAAGTCAGTTATCCAAAGAAAATACTTGTAAATTTTTTTACTATTATATTTACTTCTGATAAAGCCAGGCTCACAGCCTCTTAAGAGGAATACTTCCTCTTTCAAAGCCCTCCAATGAGACAGTTGGCTTTTTATGTTTATTTTTTCATCTTTCTTCTCCGCTCATCAAAACTAATTGGATCACATTTGACCAACTTTCAATTAGCTTCTGTTCTTCAAAACTGTGAAAATAAGTCATCACATTTTAGCAGGTCCACTCTCAGTTGGCAAATTTAGGACCATTGAGTGAATATATTTAATAAAACAGGAGAGAACTATTTATCTATGAAACTTAAAAGTCCCATGAGTGGAAAAAGGACTAGCATACATGAATGAAATGGACAAAATCCCATGTCTAATCTCTGTCTCCTTTCCTGACATCCCATATATCATGTAATAAACATGCTGATTTTGATTAGAAGGGCTCCATTTTAAAATTTTCAAGCAGATTGCATGTAATGGAGTTACTATATCATGTATAACCAGTTGTAATGCTTTCTAAGTGATATAAATATACATAACCAAATAAATATGACATCCTTATCAATTCAAAAATCTTAATATTTATTTGTATTTTAAATTTTCTCCCAAATGTTGTTTGAAAACTTACAGTTTGTGTGTTTAGAGAATTACTCTTCCTTGCACAAGCTGACAAAAAATAGTTTCTGTTTAGTGAATTTTGTATGAAGAGAGAAATCCTCAGATGTATGCCAATAATCATTTTCCCACAAATGAAAAGAGCTTTATTGTGTTTCGGATTGTAAAATATGCATTCTAAAGTGGCTTTTGTTGTTGTTGCTTTGGAACAGAAGAGAAAATGTATTAAGAAAAAGTTTAAATCTTACTTTCTTATTTGTTTACTGTTTACTGAGATTACATCAGTATAAATCAATTTTAGGTTTTCATTATTTCCTCTAATAAATACTCCTTATTTTCTAATTATATTAAGCTTTAATTTTTAAAAGGGGAAGCAAACTAAATGTATAAATCAAAGATAG